TTTTAAGTTGAACTTTTACATGCAACTAGAGGGCCAATACTACCAGAGATGGTGGTGGCTTGAAAACATGGGAGGTGGTCAGTCAGGGTACTGAGCTGGAGCTCCCTTTCTCGGGCTGCTGAGGACACTAAAATCACAGGAGTTCATGGCCAGACCGGGCACATCAATGGAGGCAGTTTGCTGAAGGTTGATAAATGCATTGAAACTGCCTCTGAGCTGTGGGCTGTTGGGGAAGTGGCTAAGGATATTCAAGGGAAGTAGTGTAGGTGGGTACTTGTCGTATGGCTGTTCTTTATGGAGGTGAAGCTGATTTTGTGTTCCTGTTCGTTAGCCTGCGTTCTCAGGGCAATGAGCTTGTTCTGTGTGTTGTAACTGACTGACAGGTGTAGAACTCCACTGGTGGTATCCAGGGAAGTTCTCAATGATTGGGCTGCGTGGCAAGGCTTGCTTTTAACACAAGAAATTTGTGGGGTTTGGAAATCTGTAACATTTTACTGTAGAACACCAGGAGACAAAGTGCGGGCACGAGTCAGGGTGTCCAGAAAGGGTCACTGGAAGTGTCACTGGAAAATGCGCGTGATACAAATGGAGGTGCTGGCGAGCTGCTCTGCCTGCTGACCACCAGGGTCTTCTCCTGAAGTCTGGCTGGTTTGAATGCTTTCAGAGGCTGGCATCTCACAGATGTGACTAGTAAACCTCACAAATTAATTTTGTTGCTAATTGTGTGCATACTGCAGTATGTGCTCTGTTTCTTTGTTCCAGAAGGTGCCGTTTAAGGTCATGTGAGCTCGTAGCTTTTGAATATCATCATCTTGCATTCAAAATGTTCAATATGCCTTGATAGGCAAGAATAGCGGTAAGCTTTATCAGTAACCAGTCACTGTCCCTTGTTCTTTTCCTCCCATGTGAGCTACTGTCATGTTCTCAGTGGCAACAATCCTATTTTTCTTCTTAAAAACCACTTTAAGTGACTGTACTTTAGAGAGTAGAGAATAAAGCTGTGTTTTAGAGAATAAAGACCTGTTACAAAAAGATAGTGAGTAGTAGGCATAAAGTGTCTGACCAAAAAAGGCTTGAATGGTAATTTTTTTTCTCTCAAAATAGAATTTGGCAAGGATGTTCTTTGAACAAACCAATGTCCGTTTGTGAAATGCAGGAGCTATAATAAAACACCAACACTGGTAATTCCCAGAGTATCAAGTGATCACGACGGATCAAGGCTTTTTTCATGGAAAGCTTGTTTGAAAGATGCTGCTTTGGTGGCTATCATTGTCAGTTCTGCTTTATGCTCCTTTGTCTCCCTAAGAGATTCTTTGCCTTGAGATCATGTAAATCAAGTGTGCCTTTCCCAGTGCTGAGGCAACTTGGATTTCTGCAGGCTGCTTCCTCCTAGCTCAGTGCTATCTGTAGTCAAGCCCAAACCCTTGTCTCTCCCCTCCCTCCCCTTGCCTGCGTAATGAGCCGGTCACACTGCACCAGAATATTGTTTGCTCTTATGAGCAGGTGTAGTAGTGTGACCTAGTGTCTTGTGTTTAAAGAAAAAAGGGGGGGGGTAGAAAAAGCACGAGTTCTTGGGAATTCTCTTCTGTCACTCTGTGATGAGCTCATGCTGGACCTTTGAACAAACCGGGGGGATTCCCCTCTGGGGAGACAAGCAGGGGATTGCCCCAGTGTCTGGAGAGGTGACGTGTGCGGAGTTAGCATTAGTTTCCTGAGTATTTCATGCTTTTTTGCAGTATACCGTGAGGATACTTTTTTTTTTTCCATGGCTTTACGCATCCCTTTGCAATAAGCTCAATAAAATGATTGAATGGCAGGAATTTGTGGTGGAGTGCTTCCAAATGGCAGCTGTCCAGTGTGGGGGGTTTGTAGCTCAGTGTTGGGTACCGCGGCTCTCGGGAGCGTGCCTTTCTCATTCCAGAGCTATTGCCAGCAATGCCAGATGTGTAATACAGCCTTGCCCCTTTGGTGCCGAGAAATGATGCTTCCTAGGATGCAACTGTTTAGTAAAACATCCTTGGGAGCAGCTGGTTGTGTTCTTTGTTGCCAAAACTTCTTGATAGTTCCTCAGTCTGCAATGCTGTAGTTCTACAGCAGTGATGTTGAGTGCATCTTCCAATCTTACTGCATGTTCCTCATGATCACAATGTCATCTCAACACTGTACTAATTGCTTGATGATAGCACTGCCTATTCTGAAAAAGGCAGTTGACCATAATAGAAAGACCATGGAATTGTGGCATGTAGACCCTTGTGCGAACAGACTTTTGAACAGCTTTCAAAATCTAGCAATGTGTTGGGAATGCCCAGGCTTGTGAAGCTGCACAGAGGAGCACGGACACCTCCTCGTGCTGCTTCGACAGGCAGTTCGGAGGATGACCTTGCTCGGTAAAGAAATGACGCACGGAGAAATAGGAGTGGATGTTTGCACTTTTGCCGCTCGCTTCATCGGGAATCATTACCACCCGAGTTGTCCTGCCATACATAGAGATAAGCTCTGACGTGTTTATAACTTTCTTTCTTTACATTGCCTCTCATTATATGACAAACCTGTTACGATTCAGACAGCGCTGGAAGGTTGCCTTGCATGCACGTAGCTCCAGCACGCACAGGATTTTTTGACGTGCTTTTCCTGTGCAGAGCTCATTGGGCTACAGAGAATTTCTTTTATACATCCCAACTGCTTTGGAAGGGATCTGAGAAGCCACTGAGAAATATGAACAGTACAAATAGGTCTAGACTCAAGGAGGACACAACTCGGAAAGAACTGGGCTTGTGCCACAGTTTGTGGAATGTTGTTTTTTGCATGTGTAGGTGGAACAGATCCCATGAATCATAAAAAAGCTTCTTCCCTTTCTGTCTCTCAGATGAGGGACATTTGCTGTCAGCTAAGCTGTTTTGGATATAAATACTGTCACTTTTCTCTGAAATTCAATATTGCCAGAATGAAAGATTGTGTGATAAAATCGATGCTGCCTTCAAACCGAGCTCCTCCTAACAAACAGGCAACCCTCCCCCAGCCCATTGCACATCAAATGTTTTATAGGGCGAGCAGAAGCAAGCTGGTGGGAAGGCCCTCTGTGTTACCAGTTCTGACAGATGAAGGTTTGAAACCGACCCACTACTTCCCAGGGTCTCCTTTGTTTGTAGATTTGTCAGGTTCCAGGAAAGAACCGCATTAGAGTGGATGACAGGAAAAATTTGGTCATTATTGCCAGTGGCTTTGCAAAATAAAAAAAGATGCTTTTTCATGAATGCTCAACAAATCACTGTCTCTGTACCCATTCCCCTGTCCTAGTTTGATGACGAGCTGGGTGCCTCTTAGAATAGAAAGTCTTGGCAGTAGCTTTCATCTTGTTCTTCTGTGTGAGGTCCCACCACGGGGTTACTTGCGCTTCTGAAATAAAGCCCAGGCAGTCCAACGCAGGCTTTGATTTAACCGAGTGTCCTTCTTTGGGCTCCTGTAAGTAGAGCGCCTTCAGCCTCTCGGTGCGCCGAGCCGCGTGTAACTGGTTCACGGTGCTCTGACATGCCGAGAAGGCTCCGTACGGGCCATATTGGGTGTTTTTAGTTTCTTGCCTATTTCAGGGCAGTATGGGCAGGGTTCTCAGGTTACCAAAAGATTGCATCATCCGCATTCGCTCTTTTTTTGGGAAAAGCCTTGTGAGTTGGCTGGGCGTTCCCCCTGCAGCGCCGATGCCTCTCCGTACTCCAGAAAGGCTCTTGGCTTTTGGTCTGGGCGGTGGGGCAGGGTCTGCTGCCGGCTCTGCCCCTGTGCGTTGCTGCTAGGGATGAGCCAGGATGCTGCAGTCTGGCACAGAGGGAACTCTCGATGGAACGCTCCGTTTCACGAGGAGCCTCCGTTATGTGACTGGAGCTGTTGGATGCGTGCCTCCCTGTACACTCTGTTCTGCAGAAAATCACGATTTCATCAGTTCTTGTATGGCCATAGCTCTCCAGTTCTAAACGCCTGCCCCAACCCATATGGGACAAATCAGATCCCACAGTCCGGGGTTGGAGTGCCTCTTTTAAAAGCAAAAACATTCCGTGAAACATTCTTAGAGGCATGAATAATTTGATAAAAGAGAATGTAGAGCTGGGCGGAGGAAGCCTTTAAGTAAGGGCATGTGCCTGGTTTGTTTTGACGGGAAGTGCAGGGAAGTGGCTCGGACATTGAGCCTCAGAGCCTGTGTGGGATTTGGAATCGCCTGTGTGTAGGGCAGCGTGCTTCGTTGTGTTCTGAGAGGTAACTGAGCTGGTAACCCAGGAGGGACAACCCTCTTCCAGCACCTTCCCAGAGTTACTGTTTATATTGATCACGAAACTCCAAGAAAAATAATTTCAGCATCAGTGTGGCCTGATGATGGCCATGGATTTCTTTCACCTTTCTCAGTATGTTCTACTGGTGCATCTTTCTCTTCATGTCTGCTGTTTTTTTGTAAGAACAAGACAAAGCAACTTTACTTAATGACTTTGTGTACATGCGTTTGTTATTTATTGTAACTGCTGGTTTTTTCCTTACTAAAAATACCAAATTAAAAGCTGTTGTGGAAGTCTACTGGTGTTAGATTCTCTCTTAAAATGCGTGGTATGAATATTAGGAGGCATCACATTAAAAATTTACTTTACATATACATTAGGTAGAAATTGGTTTTTGCTAATGAAGCTGCGTGTTTATTTTTATACATTTATGCTTCGACATTGGAAACTCACTGTCTCCTGCAGTATTAGAATGCAGTGTATTTATTTTAGTCCTGACAGAATCTACCTTTTCGATAGAAATATGTTCTGGAAATGAATTTAAATCCTTGTTAGCAAAGCCTAAATATAGTGTTCAGGTTGGTGATATCACTTAGAGCTAACTAAATATACATTACTTATATTTACAAGAACTTTGAACGCGTCATTCTGATAATCCTGTATGTGTGTTGTCTTTACAATGTCTTCTCAGTCTAAACCCTAACTGCTGATTGTATTTACATAACCATTTCTTTCTTCCAGATTAAGCTGCAGAACAACATATCCTATCAAATGGCAGACATACATCGTTTAAAGGGTAAGGAATTTACGGGCAGGCAGTGAAGCTGTGATTTAACTGCCGAGGTGCTGCAGCACACGTTTTAAATGAAAGATCAAGTGGTGCTGGAACATGGCCTAATGTGAGAGTTCCTGTATTTCTTCGTTACCTGGGCTGGGGCAGTGCAGGGCTGGCTCTTGTAGACTTGGCTCTGCTGGCTGCCCAAAGAACGGGTGTTCTGGCACTCCGAGAGAACAGAGTCGTTTCTGTGACCATATACGCAGTTTAGTACGGTTTGGATCAGCAACATTGTGATACTTAGGCTGGGCTTGAAAAGGTCCAGAAAACATCTTTTAAGGCTGTTAAATACAAACATGATTACAATTACCATACAATAATCTTATGCCAAACTAACAGTTAATGCCAAAATCCGTACATGCCTGCAGACAACATACTTGGCATTTCTGCCTGTATCTATGCAATTGCAACTTGAAATAGTAGGAAGCTTAACAATTATTTGTAGCCTGAGGAGCAGGGAGAACTGCTACAACAATTACTTGTGAAGACAGGAAATATGTATTGGGTTTATGGAGAGTGGAAAGGCACCTTCTTTTGTACATTTGTAGCAGAAAAAGACTATTTGACCGTTGTGCCTAAAGTAACCTAGTAGTACTTTTGTGTTACTCAGAATAACAGAATCTTTCAGGAAATTAAGGAGATTTCCAACAGATGGGTGAAATAGCATTGTGTAAGTCTTCTGAATTAAAAAGGTAAAGAAAAATTTAGGAGTTTTGGCATAGCGTCAAAAGAATTGTGCTATAATTCATATGACATCTGGCATACATGAGTAAATTGGCATCTTTTTCAAGTTAGTTGAGCAAATTTTTAACTTATATGGCAATATTGAAAGTTGTATTCGCCGTGGGGCATTTTTTCTTATCTTTCCGTATTCATGTTGATTTTTGCTTTTTGCTCTAGAACAACTAGCAGAATTACGTCAGGAATTCATTCGCCAGGAAGATCAGCTTCATGAGTACAAGAAGAACAATACTTACCTTACAAGGAGATTGGAATACGATAGGTACGTCTTCAGGAATGTTAGTGTCTGTAGTGTTTGTGTGTGCGTACTGGATGTCTGTATTTATTAAAAAGTGTAAATTAATGCTATTTCTGCTAATTCTCAACTTGAGTGTACTCGGTGATATAACTTTCACTTAGCTAGTTGTTTGATTTTTTTTTTAAGTTCAGGTTTTTTGTGGTGTTCTACTCTTCCCCCCAAAGTGAGATATTATCTAAGAAAAATGTGACTTGCTAGAATTGCTCAGCATTGGACAATTTAAGCAATGCATCTTTTGTAAAGTGAAGATCTTAGTTGACAAATATTTGGAAGAGTTTAATCAACACAGTTCTGTAAGCCACCAGGGTTGTTAATTGCTGTCTTTCTAAAGTGTAATTTTATTTTTTTCCACTGAAGTTGAAAGCATTGTGTATATCGGCATTTTGAGTTGACTGCAGCCTTTTAAGTTTACGATGGAGAAGCAGGGAGAACAACTACTTCTGAAACTTTGAGGAATGGGAAGATTAGCACTTGAGAGAACGGTTGAAACTTTCACACACCCCATTCTTTACGAGTGTTTGTGGGAGACAGGGATGTTGTTGAATTGGGTTGGTCTCTGTGTGGCTTGTGGGAGAAGTTGGGACAACTCATCTGCGTCATTCAGATCTTGTTATTTGAGTTGAAGCAGTAACTGATAGTAGTAGTTGTGCCTCTTCTGTGTTGACAGCCATGGGAGATATATTGTTTTCCTAGTGGAATTAATATATGCTGATGACAGATTAACTGCGAAGCTTGAATTTTCAGTTGCTTCCCAGGTTTTCAAGCAAATATGTTCAAGGCCATTCTATTTATTTTACTGTTTTTCTGCTCTGTCCCTATTTTTTCCAGTTCTGCTTTCTTTCTGTATTCAGTCCATTTCCACTCCATACACATTCCAGGACAAGGCTTTTTGGACAGACTATTCTAGTTATATCTCAGGTTTGGCTTTTTGTGCCACTTCATTTTTATATTTTTTTTCCCTATTTTATTTATGGGAGAGCAGATACAAGAAATTAAATCCAACTAATAATGTGTTTCTAATCAAGTCTGCAGTGTGGGCAGCAGATCAAGGAAATGAGACTGCAGCATGAAGAAAACATAAAGAAATTAATGGACCAAATTGTGCGGGAACAAAAGGTAACGTGTGGCTAAGTTTCGTGGTTGAATTAGAAGAGCCCGAAGTCTGCTGTTGGTTTGACTCTGCATTTCAGAAACATGGAGGTCTTTGGCATTTCTCCCCCAAGTTTTCGTTAAATATCGTCCTGGGCAGACCTAAGTGGGTGGTAGCAAAACAGGCAGATGTTCTTACACTCAGTCGGTGAACTGAGCCTTGAAGATCAGGCTTTGTTCTCTGCTCTGTTACAGCCTTCCTGCATGACATCATTGCTAAGGATTTCAGTTTCTTCTCTGTAAAATGGATATTACTTTATAGCTCTCCAGGGTAGGATCTGTGTTCTTACAGCCTTATATAGGTTATTGCAAAGGGAACCTGATCTCTATTGAGACCTCAAGGTGCTAATGTGATGCAAATAACAATGGTATTTGAATGGTATCAAGGGTGTCATTATATGGTGCAAGCTGCCAGTAGAATATGGGCCTCTTTCCTACAATGAGACGAAATAACCTGCTCTTCTTAAAATTTCATTTCCTTACTTCATCTCCATTTATAAACATTTCCAATAATAAGGCAAACTTGAAGTAGATTTCAGTCGGATCTTTCCTTAAAATCCAGACTTGTTTCAAAGCCTCTGACCTGAGGCTTAAGGCGAACGATGCCCTAACCTCTTTGCATTATACTTAAGAGCTACATATGCCAATGTAAACGTCACCCAGCCATGCTGTATTTTACGTTTTCTGTTAAGTTACGTGTCCATGCTCTACCTCCTACCCTCAGGGCTCGGGTTTGTATATAGAGGACTTCTGCTGTTGTTTGCTTTGGTGATCATCTAATTCATAAATGCAATTTTGCTTACCCAAAGTAATCTTGAATTTGAAGGGTTTTGTTTTGTAATTTTCAGGGATGTGCTTAATATTAGTTCTGTGTGAATTTGTTCTAACAGGCCACACAAAAAATTCAGTCCAGTAAAGACACTGAAGTAAGTCCCAACAATGCTGACCAGGCAATATCTAAGACTGTTCCAGAGGCAGAAGATAAAAACGCTGTAAAGAATGAGCAGCCTTCGGATCATGTTGTAAATGGCAAAGGTATTTCCTTTTTGTAATTTCTGATAGATAATGGGCCAGTTGTGTTGTGTCCTTTGCTATCATACAGAATCGTGCATTTCTCTGAAGTAGAACCATGAATTATTTGGCTCAGATGACTTGGTTAGCTGCATGCGATTGCACTAAACTGGAGTAGATAGGTACCTAGAGATCGGCACGTCCTGTCGTTAAAGTAGTTTCTTGCAGAATCTTGTGCGAGTCTTGTGTTTGCATTGTTGGTTCATTCGGCATCTCCTTCCTCACGTGGCTGGTTGTGAACTGGGGACTGCCTCTCCACCTCCTGTGAGGTGCCTTGGGGTGGGCTAGGGATGGGGCATGTTGTTGGGGAGCTGGAATCTGCACAGAGAAGGTGACTGGAGGCGAGGAGCACCGGAGCCTTGTGGGAGGGCTTTAGCTGGGTGAGGCAGCGGAGCAGTGGGGACCTTTCGTTGTCAGGAGCTGTACGGGAGGCTCTCGGTGAGTAACTGTTGCGGTTGTTGCCTCCCTGCAAGGCAGGTGGGTTCCTTTGTTTCTAGTTCTTGTGCTGCTGAATCAGCACTTTTTGTATCAGCTCAGCGTCTGTTCCGGCCAGCTTCTTGCAGCAGGCTTCTCTTATTCTGCCACCAAGAGCAGCGCATCTGTTTCCCCTCCGTTTCTGAAGATTGCACTGACTTTGGGATCACTGCTTCAAAGCAGTCCTCAGCGGCTTTGGCAGTACAGCATAACGAGTGGTGTAGTTGCCTTTTTGCTATGGGACGTGTTCTGTGGATAAAGGACTTTTCTTCTGGTCTTAGAGCCTTCCACAGGGGGGAGATTCAATGTTCAAACATAAAGGTTAGGCAGAATATCCTATTCTTGTCTTACAGAGAAAATCAAACCAGGAGGAGATGCAGGCATGCCTGAAATAGAAGATAATGACCCAGCTAAAGCTGAAGATACTCCCACTGGTTAGGAGAAATATTCTAATACTTTCACATTTGGGTTCTCGGTGACGTATATATATTCTGTTTGAATACCATGTGTTTCATAGGGAATACAAAGTTTTGAAATCTGTCTATGGTAACAAAATTCAAGTGGAGCGTAATTTTTACTGTGCTTTAGAGGTTTGAATTCTAAAAACTGAATGCTTCTGATAATTATTTCCTCCCCCCCCCCATCTTGTATTTTGTATTTTCATCTATGGTTTAAATACAAGAAAACAACAACAGCAACAAAGTTTACAAGATTGTTAGAGGAGGACCTGGTATATAGTGTCTGTCTGTTTCATGTAAATGCTTTTGTCCATGTATTTTATTTCAGCTTTAAAGAAGCCACTTATTTCAGCTCCTAAAAGTGAAGGTCATCAGCCCGTTATAAATCTTCCAACCGAACAGCCCCATGCTCCAAATCTGGCACCAGGTAAAATTCTTATTAGCAGGTGACAAGTCACCATTTTGTGGGAAAGTTACCATTTAATACCTGCTACCTGTCATGAATGTTAGATGTACGTGGCCAGCCCCTTTTTTTGTGGTTGATCTGGTTACGAGAAGAAAACCAAGGATCAGTTTCTGCAGGACACAAGATTGAGTGTATTCTCAGTCTGTATCCTGAGGTTGCTGGTTGTACCACCTCTTTTCACTCCCCCAGTAATGTCTGAGCCTTTTGACCAACTTCAGCTAAATTTGAGCATTAGAAGTTTCAAAGATAAGTGCTTCAAGATTTCTCCACTGGACAGAGGAGAGTAATTGAAGTTAGTCCTTAGGGGTACTAATTAGACAGGGCTGGAATGTTTCATCAAGAGTTGATTGTTGATCTGCTGGTAGCCAGCTAGAGATGAGACAGCAGTACTCCGCTTGCTCAGTGTCCTCCCGTTTCTGAGAACAGCTCACTTGAGGGTGATGCGGGGGAGGATTAGGACATGAGAGAACTAAAAGTACTGCACTGAAAGGATTTATAAGAATCGCGGTTAGAAAGGACACAAATCCATAGAAAATACGCTTAAATTTAGTGCTCGTGGATCAAGTCACTTTAATGTCAAACAGAACATTAGGTTGTATCTGCACTGCAGGTGGCATGTTCAAATACCATCTTGGTAAAAACCATTAAATAAAACGTACTTGTTATGTATTTGTGACGTGACCAAACAGCTTGAAGTTTTTTGTTATGCCCATCGGTGGTTCTTTTGAAAAAAAGCCACAGAAGTATTTCTTAATTTCTCTCCTTTTGCAGTGGATGTGTAAGCAGATTAGAAAACCAAAGTTGGTGAGCTCAAAGTCTGTGAACACCATTTAAAATTTATTATTTCCAAATGTCAAATATTTTAAAATAGTTCATTTCTTTTTGTTCTTCTGAGGTAGTCTTTTGTTTTGACTTTTATTAATGAGAAAACATAAAAGATAGCAAGTTGAAAGCTTGCTTTGTTGAATTTAGTTTATCAACAGAAGGCCAATGTGAATTTCAAGGGGACTGGGGTTTTCTGTATTCCTTGGATGTGTAGTCCTGTGATTCTGCGTATTATTTTTAGCATAATTTCTGTGACCTACTGCAACCTGCTCCTCAGATCATAACTCTTGAAACAATAAATGATGCTTAGTAGATTTGAAAAGCAGAATCAGCAGGAGGATAAAAAAAAATACAGAAACATATTGTTCTGGGCTTCATCAAGCATTTAAGTACATACAGAAAATCGGCTGAGAAGGTAACGACTTAGGATTGATTACATATTAAAATGTGATTAATTAACTTTTGTGATATCATGATAACCTTCTTTTGGACCCATGTAAAAACGGAACATGCTTCCTCGTTCTGTAGGTTTGCACAGTGACAATGATGGAAATGCTGACATTGCGAAGCAGATACCTCCAAATTCTCTCCAGCACCTAAATTTTGAAGAAAATATGGAAAACCAGAAAGAACACAAAATTGAGACGGACCATATAAAGATTCCAAAGAGCAGAGTTAGTGACTTGCAGAAGATGAAGCAAAGTAAGTCGGCCAATATCTCATACTTCAATATATTAAGAAATTTGCTTCATTTTCTATCTGTAATAGTGCCTGCCTGGAGAATGGGAACCATTGCAGCAGGTGGCCTTCTGGAGAGTACGCCTGAAAAGAAACGTAATATGTTACTGTGCACAAGATACGCCTTAATGTGTCATCTTTCATATATATATTTATATATTCAGTCTTTTAAAAAAAAATTGCCTATAGGAACTTAAAATGTTTTTGGAAATTACTACACATTTAAATAGATTAAGTAAAGACTTTTGATAGATGCACAATACTGAGTTACTTACATTCCCGCTATATTACTTAACTTAAAGACAATGGTTTGGACAACATCGTAATCAGTCAGTCCCTACACAGGTGGACTTTGACTTTGGTGGGATATGTGTATTGGCCGGAATTTTGTTCTGACGAGGTGTACCTCAACCAAGTTATTTTTAAAGAACTAATTCTCATTGTTTAGCGTTTGGGGGGGGAAGGGGCACCTGGAAGAAAAAACACAGTGCTGAAACATCTCCTTGGTTTTTACCCAAATAAGATGTTTCTTTATAGCTATTATAAATTCAACTTTAGATTTTGTTGTGCTCACAGCTAAGTAGCTTTCACTTAGGCCTTGGTTTCTGTGATTAAAATCTGTCTGTACTCCCAAGATGACAAGTTATTACATTGGAACAGCCATCTTCAGAGTCAGGAAAATTGGGAGGAAAAAAGGATTCTATAGCCTCCTGCTGGAAACCTGTATTAATTCTGTGGATCATACACGCAGTGGTACAGAAATAGCAATTTTGCTGAAATAGAATCATGGATGGGTTTCAGTGATCAATGAAGAGAATTCTGAAAGCTAGGGTTGCTCTCAGGAATGTGAAACTATGAATTCATTTTTGTCACAGAAGATTCAGTTTGTGAAGTTCCTTTCATTAGAGTTAAGTTGTTCTGGTTCCTTCTTGTGGTCTAGAACTTGACTGGCGATTCCGTAGCTTGCAGAAATTGCAGGAAAAAAGTGTTAACCTCTAGCAATCTCTTAAATGTTCCCTGAATAACAGAAATAAGTGTGAAATAATACTCCATTTGTTCTTGTAAAATGCTTTAGCTGCTGTTCTGAAGCAGAGGTTAAAGTAAAATGGGGCCTGTGAGCATATGGTCAGGTTTGCGAGCAGGTAGCTGTAGGGGGGGTGTTGGCGTAAAGGGGTGTACGGGGGTGCAGGAGTCCAGCGTGTTCTGTCCTTGTCCCCCACCCCCTTGCCACCCCCAAAGGCTCCGAGGCCAAAGCCCGCAGATCATGCCAAGCCTCACGCGAGAGGTTTAAGAAGCTCCCTGATGTGGTTTGTGAGCCATTAACGACTTTGGGAGAGGTGCTGCCCTACTGCAAGACACGTCTCTACAAGTGAGCGGGCAGAGGGTTTGAGGAGCTGCAGAGCCCTGGCAGCACGGTCTGACACCCGGGGAGGTAACTGAACCAAGTCTCAGTCAGTTCGAGTATGGTGACAAGTGGGTAACGGGGATTTTCCGACAACAGGTTGTGTCAAAGGGACATGATCTGAAAAGAATGTATTCAAAGGAAGGAAAGCGGTAAAAACAGGAACGTGACTTTGTTGTAGGCAAATTACTGGAGACCTGCTCAGGAACAAATTGCTATTTGGTGAGCGCACAACTTTAAGAAAAGAACATTCCAGGCATAGGTATCGCTAACACTTTTATTTGGAAAGCTGCTGTGAGATTTACAGAGATGCTCCTTTCCTTGGCACTGTTTGGGATGTTGAGTGCTGGATGATAAACAGTGTATGAGATGTGGGTTCAGCAACACAAACGTTTGTAAACATAAAGTAGTCTGCAGTAAGAATGGAGAATTACTGCACAGAGTGAGTGACGAATAGCAAGTGAGCAGGTCGGTCCAAACCGATGTGGTCAAGAGTGGAAGTTGGTTGCTAACAAATGTCTGAAGTGAGGTTTTTCTTCTGGGATGTGTTAACAGGAATGTCAAATAAGATAATAACACGGAGTAAGTAACTCTGGTTTACCTAGAGCCTCTGAGGCCGTCCTCTGGCTTTAAATATCAAAGAAAGATGATGGGAAGCTGGAAGGAATTCAGGGGAGAGAAAAATAAATAAATAGGGTTTAGTATAAGGAGAAAAAAAGCTCTACAAGGACCAGGTTTGAAGAGGTAGAGAACAGACATTGATTTACTATATGGGGTTTTGGTGGGTTTTTTTAGAAATGGATCTTTAGGGAAGGCTTCAGTTATTTCAATATCACTCATGGATCTTTCCGATGAAGTGGGATAGGTGTATTCAGAATTGGCATGCAACCTGTGCAAGCTTTTCTCTCACTCTGTGTATCCTGAGGTTTACAAGACTACTTAGTTTATCAGAGGAGCCGCTCATCTGGCTGAGTGACTGTAGCTGACATGAGAGCCCTTCGTACTGTGGGTGTTGGGGTTTTTAACTGGGTTGGCCGTCTGCCCTGTGATGGATTGAGTGATGGGGGATAGCTGTGTAGGCAGGAGTAGTGGATGAAGCGTCTCCATGCAGGATCTGAATGGGTGCCTAGGTCAATAATCCTCACTGATGAGTCTTCTCCTTTTCTCTTTGCTCCCTCACATTTGTAATACCTTATGTTGTGCACTGTAATGATACAGTGAGGGAGGGACTTCATCACGTGTGGAAACAGCTTATCCAGGTAGAAGATTTATGTCCTGACTGATCAGCAGGGAGCATTCTGAATGGTCCATTGGTGACAAATTCATCCCTGGGCTGTAGAGACGCCCGGCTCCGGCATGCAGCTTTCGCTGTAGAGACCTGCCTGGCTGGGCTTTTGGTTCCTGAGCGCTTCAAAACTTGCTCTGCATCAGCCCATGGGATGAGAGGAATGACCCTCCTTGGTCAGGTATTTGTCATACCTGTCCGCTTTCAGAAGCAGGGAACTTCTTCCCAAAGGATATTTTACTTTTAAAATCTATGCTATCAAAATTAAAAAGTAACTTTGGTACTAGGCCCAGAGACGGGCATGTTGCAGCCATCGGGCTTTAAAAGAAGCAGAACCTGAAAGTGGCTGCAGCAGCATCGCTGTTTGTGCTCTTACCTGGCACCCTGGGAAAGAGCTGGGTGCAGCAAACCCCCAGTCCGTGCTGCTCGTTAACGCTGTCCTATAAGCAAGTCCTGAGCAATGAGCACGTGGACAGCCGCTCTGAGTAGCGTGTTTGTAAGGATCCAGCTTTGAGTAATACCCCATGTGTCCATTCAGAATTCATTTTGGTAAAAGTTACCTGCAGGTTTTAGCATCTGTGACATCCGTATGGGATGTCCCGTGCTGTCACGAACCTCTCGTGCTTTGTGACGATGTATTCCACCATGCCTCAAATTAGTCAGTCCATGTAGTAGTGCCTGCATTACAGAGAGCAAGTCATGCTTGGAGTGATTGGAGAGACCCGGAAAGGCTTCAGGTGTCTGTTGCAGAAAGCAATCGGTGCGTGGCTGGCTCGAGCTACTGGCAACTCCTCCTGGTGTTTGGTATCCCCAGAGCCTTGTCTTAGAGCACTGCTGTTCTCCCGCCGTTGTGCGGGAAGTCATCTACTGCCTACGGGTTTGCACGCCTGGCTCTGCACACGGTGGAGTGGCTGTCAGGACCGCTGAGCCCAGAACGACTGTTGGTGAGCCTCGGCCTTTCCTCCCCTGCTCTGAAGTAGGTCGAGCTAAACCACCAAATGCTTCGAGCAGAGTGAAGCCTGTAGCGAAAAGCAGCCACGTCTGAGGCTGTGCCGGAGTCCAGCTCGCCAGGGCTGTGCCGAGCGCCGGGCTGCTCCCCGAGCTCCAGCTCGTGGCCGCAGGGGCTCGCTGTGCTTCCTAGGATCTCGCTCTGAGATTTTAACCTTTCCTTCTTTCCACTTAAGTTTATCCAGACCTTGTTTGTCACAGTATTTCTGGCATCTCCACAGGCTTGGTTTTCTGTAAGTGAAGTGTATTGGTTGCCTTTCCATAGCTTGTTTTATATTAAATCTGTGCGAATTGTACGGTTCTGTCTGCTTCTATATATAATGCAGTGTCCAAGAATACAAACAGTAATAGCAAGGATTGCTGAATTAAGAGATGAATAGAGAATGAGTAACATATTAAACTTCTGATATCTAAATGGATCATAGTTTCTTCCTGCTTATTTTATGAAAATAACTGAAAATTCTGTTTCTGTACATTTGAGCTGCACTAGATGTGATTCTTCAGCTTTTCTTCCCCACCGTGCTGTTGTCTCTGTCCTGATTTTTATATACTGCCACACATGATAGTTTTCATTGTTTTAAGAAATAATTTATTTTTTACATCTGTCCATTGTAACCTCAACCTCCTTTTTAATCCTAACGTTTAAATCCTATTCTTCAGTTTTACTTCTCTGTTTAATTGCTTCTGCTGTGAATCACTTAACGTCTGCCTTGGCAGACTTTTTTCTCAGTCTGTAGAGATTGTATTGCACTTTAATCCTATTTTTTTTCCATTTATCCATAATCCTTCCAGGCTGGTATCCTCTGCAGACTCAGTGTTGCATTCTTTAAGCGATGGGAAGCAGACTGAACTGCATTGGACGTGAACAGATCTCATATCCCATTAAACACCAGCTCTGAACTTGACATCACACCATTAATCTTCCATTGTGTGCTTGGTTGACTGTTGCGTCATTTCATACTTCCAGCTAATTCTCATTTTTCTTGTGCATTGTTTCAGTATCTGGAACTATTCTTAATTCTTTGCTGGGAGACCAAAAATACTGGATTTGGAACATTTTGAAAACTGTTAAAGCTTAATAGGAAACCAGAGTGTAAAGCCAAATTAATTAGGTAGTTTAAAAAAAGTCAGTTCAGAGGGCAGGTCTCTGCTGGATTTTTACCCTTGACAGTGTGGTACGTGCTCTGCAGCCGTTACCCTGTACGAAGTCAGCAATATATTGCTCCATCGTGCGCAGGAAAATGCCAGTCCCCCTCCGAAAAAACTCTGGATACAAAAACTCCCTCTGTATGCACTTCAGCACTTTAAGGAAAGTTTTATTAGTGTTTGTAGGTAATTGAGGGGGGAGCTCTTTGTTTGGATGCTTACTCCAGCTCTCTTCTCCAGGGAGCGACATGTGTAAGGATCAGATTGCACAAGACCCGACTGGCCGAGCACGTCCCCTTTGCACAGGGGCGTCCATCAGCCTTGTTGTCCCCCTGCCCAAACCTGCTCCCTCTGCCCCCGCTCCGCTCCAGCTGAAACTCCCGCGAGAACCCGCGGTCAGCCTTCGTTTAGGATCTTCCTGTTTCTTTCCTCTCTGCTTCTGACTTAATCCTTTGCCTACTTCACAGGCCGATTCTTTGATGAGAATGAATCCCCTGTTGATCCGCAGCAGGGTTCTAAACTGGCAGATTATAATGGGGATGATGGTAACGTGGGTGAGTATGAGGCAGACAAACAGGCTGAGCTGGCTTACAATGAGGAAGAGGATGGTGATGGTGGAGAAGAAGACGTCCAAGGTGAGCTTGGGCCTTATCTCCATCCCATTGTAATAAAATCCACGCTGAGTTTACTTGTTGAATTTGTGTAAAGCCTCGCTATTTTTAGCTGATCGCAAATTTCTAATACAGAATAAATAACCTTTAGGCAACCTTTACAATTCGGTCTTGCTCCCTGTGTGAAAGCAATGTTGCAGCAGTTTCACCGAGAGGGTTTTGATTCCTAGTTTCTGCTGGGAACATCAAGACGCTTCAAATTTCAGAAATGGTTTTGCCTAAGCCCCCAAATCTGGTATCGAGCTAGTTGGGATGCAGTCGCTGCTGTTACTGAAGCCACTTTCAAACACAGAAGCATAGTTGTTCTGACTGCTGCTCTCGGCTCCCCTGCCCTGAAGCGGCACGCGGCGAGGTCTCCGTTAGCAATTCCAAGTGTGATTTTCGTGCATTGTACACAGATTCAACAGGCTTCTGGTTTTCCTTGCTAACCTAACTTCACAAGTCATTAATCTGGTGCCAGCCTAACGCCTGTACGTGCATGTTCGCCACCTTGTTCTGCATGCAGTTCAGTGCATCGCCTGGCCATCGCTTGTCTGCCGTGTATCTGCCACGTTGTCTACCCTTCTCCATCTAGTTGTCCGGTAATGCTTTGTGAAAGGTTTGCATGTCTGTAGGGGGAAAATGTTTCTGTAAACGTATCTAGTATTTCCAGTTAAGGAGAGTGCAAAATAAAGAGGGGGGAAAAAACCAAACCCCGTTTGAAGTTCTACGGGCACCCTGAGTTTGATCCTCATAATGCAAGTTTTTTAGCTGGTAGTTCTTCAGACGTATTTAATTGGTATCCAAGCATAATTAATGACTAAAGCTGATAAAAAGCGACTGATTTCTGTGGGCATGCATCTAACTATGCAGTGTAAGCATTTTTTGGCTGGGCTGGTAGTTTGAAACTCATGAACAAGCAAAAGAAAAGTATGGATCAGAACCCTGGGCAATTAATTAACTTACTGATAAAAATGAAAACGCTGCTGCTGCTCCAGAAGCCGTGGCCTGTTTTATTACACTTTTGCTCAAAACTGGAGCAGCGGAGTTTAGCCTCTCTGGATTGCTACGGGCTGCTCCTCTGGACGGGCTGTTGCTGGGCTGTAACATGCTCCTACAAGCGTGTGTGCAGCTGGTTCTGTCGATGCTGTGAAGTAGGAGACTTGCTCCTGATGATTATGATCTCGTAAGGAAAAGGAAAGCGCGGTACGTCCTGCATGTTTGTACCTCTGAGCTCTGCTCTGCCGACCGGAGCGCTTGGGCGGGTCGGGGTTTTCATGGGTTTTAGTTCAGCTCCCCTTGGTGAGCAGCGGGCAATGCCCAGCTCTGTGCCTGGGCTTCGGAATGCAGTTCTCAGTCTTAACCAAAGCCACGTAACTGTTAGGGAAATCTGTGCTAACTCCACCATTTCCCTCAGCCTGTGGGCTCCTCGTTACCCGCAGCTGCTGCGCTGCTGAGCCAGGAGGAGGAGGTGTGAGGAAGAGGAGGTGTGCTGCCCGGGCGGTGCGGGGACGCAGCTCCTGCTGTAGCTCACAGCTCCGTGCTGGTTTGCTCGTCAGCACGAATCATTGCTGGGGTGGCCTTTGCTGGGAGCTGGTGGCTTTAGGGAGCGAGAGTTCACACCGTGTTGGTTGTAAACAGTTACCCGTAACATGAACAGCGTTCTCTAGTCACGAAAGGCTGGGCTTGATGTAGTAATAAGTGGTGGAAAATTGTTAAAAACTTTTTTAAAAGATTTTGCTTATGCAGCAGCTTGCTGTGCAAGGGATACTGAATAAATCAGAGCTCGAACTGAAAGGGGCCTCATAAAAGTGGTTCCTGTTAGAAGTGGGACCTGTCAGTTCACTGCTCGGGTGGCTTTAAATTTGGACTTGGCAAAAAATCTTTTTTCTGATCAAGGCCTCTGTGTATCTGTGTGCACGTAATGTGTTTCATACCTGGTCGTAAAGGTTAACGAGAGACTTGGGGAAGCCTTCTCAGGAAGAACAGGCGAGCAACGGACGTCACTACCTCAGACTTGGTTTTCCAAGCCCTCTGTTCTGTCGCTTCCTAATAACTCGACTTGATCTGAGGTACAAGTCACACAGTGGTACCTCGTACTTCCAGAAGGAGCATTTTAGAAAAAGTGTCTGCGTTAAGTCTTTACACTAATTTGTGTGCGGGGTAGGAGAGGGGAGAACTGGGGGGGTTTGGAGGGAGAGTGGTTATAATTTAGGGAGGAAAACCCCCTGAATTTCTGACTAAAAGCTGTTAGAAAAACATCACATGGGTTTGCGTTAGGCTAGAACAAAGCTTGTGGCATGTGCAAACAAAGCAATGTAATTAAACATGTTTTTCTGTTGCCACTAGAAATGTGTGGGCCTTAGATCAAAATTATCAGAGGAAAATACACAAATTTGGGAGACAGGCTCGAGTGAAAGTCCGTCTCCGGTCTGACATTCCTGGTTTTGGTTGGAGATGCGAGGTGACGATATTTAAATACACCTGTTTGAAATGCGAGGTGGTGGTTGAAAGTTGTTGGCTTCGACTATTAGTAAATCTGGTGTAGTGGTGGCCGGTCGGTGGAGGGTTACAGAAATCCGGCCATGTCCAGTGCTGTGGTGGTAGCTTCTTACCAAACGCGTGTCACGTAGGTGACTTCAGCCTTTTGCTGTTGGGAGTCGGGTACTGACGGGGACCCACCTCGCTCGCAGGCTGGTGCCAGCCTCAGCCAGCTTCTCCTCTAGTAAAGGACTTTAGTAAACTTCGACTTTACTCTCCGTTCCTCTGAACACACATCTTTCCTGAACATGAAGGAACACAGCTGAAATGTGGGAAGAGTTTATTAATTGAGACAAACACAAGTTTTAGGGCTTTTTCATTTCTTGAGGAAGGCTGGGGACCCACACAGGACATATCTGAATGATGGCAGGTAGAATGCAGAATATTGTATCTTAAAACATCACTTGAAAAAATATTGAATGTGCATTTTCTTGATGGATTTTTTGTATGTGCTACAGTGAATGGTTATGCTGAGGATGCACAAGATTTTTTTATTTTATTTTGATTTTTCATGAGGCCCAAACCCAAGGAATAGAAGTCAAGAAGTAGATAAGGTAGAGTGGTGGAGAGACACAATTTTTCTGGATGTGAAAGACGAGGTGAGCGCCCTCTGCTCTTCAGGCCAGGACAGAGCCGTACATCTGCCGTACGGAGCAGCTGACCCTGAAGTGGCCATTTGCCCTGCCAGGGAGTCCCCGGCCCGTGATGCCGTTACTCCGTGATTCGGGAGTAGTGTTGTTGATCTCGCAGGAGCTGGGCTGGCTGGGTTCGCTCCGGTTGTGAAGAGCAGTGGTGAAAAACGTCTTGTGGATTCTTCAGCAGTGCTGGGAGAGAGAACAGGGATTTATTTCCATTGATAAGAGATTTGAAAAGGTTGAGAGCTGCCTTTTACGTTGTTAAAAGTCTCTCTTCAAATTTTGCCCTCAAGCCTGAGATAGGAGATAGTGGTAGTAAAAACATTGACAGCGAAGTCAATTCCAGCATTAGTAAAAACCCCAACACTGAAAAATGTTGTGCCGTGTTTGTGTGGAGAGGATCAGTTTTCCCATTGAGAAGTAGGTGGGAAAAGTATGGCCATGGCCTGGGGGGGCCCTACTGAGGGCTCTGTGCTTGTCCCCTCGCTACCAGCCCTTGTAAAATCCTACAACGCGTTACCCCCAGAAGGGGTCAGAAATGGCAGCGTGACTCTCCGGAGCGGTTGGGGTTTAGTGGGAGAGTTCAAAACCTTTAGAGGAAGGTTCTCAAATTGCAGTAGGAAGTTTAACCAGTTCTACAGTCAATAGATCTCTGAAGCTGGCTGCAGTAAAGCCAGAGGTACTGAACAGCGCCAGGTCCCCCCGCTCTTCGAGGGGCCGCTCCCAGGGTGCCAACAGCCGGACGTGGTCGCAGGCCGTATGCGTTCCCCGTAGCTTTCCTGATGACCTCACTCCTGTAAGCAGGCGAGGCCGATTCAGAGCGGACGTACGTGTTAGCAGCGCGTTCTGGGAGTCTGCTTGTATGGTGTTTCAGTAGTATCACGTCCGGTTTGATCTGAATATTTTAATTGCAGATGATGAAGAGAGAGATCTACAAAATGACCTCGTTGATTATGGCAAGCCACGCTTCAGCGATGGCGTTCTTTAAGGCCCGAGTTGAGCAGAAACCACGGCTGAGAAGAGATCTCCACTGAGGAACTTGAAGTGCTGCAAAACTGAACCATTTTTACGTCGGCGTTGCTGACTTTAAAGGAAGCTGATAATTAAAAGTGATGAGTACGCTCGAAGTCAGCGAAGTGACAGAAGGAAACAGTTCTGTACATATGTACATAGTTGTACTATTGCAAATTGTATTAAAATACATTTTTGTTGTTACATTGAGCCAATTGCTTAGACTGTACCTTATCTGTAATAATCTTTACATTTAAAACCAATATTATAAATACGGGCTGAATTGTTTCTGCAATTTAGAAAACTTTGTAAACTGGAGAACTTGTACAGTTTGTATCTCATGTAACAAATACACTGTGGAAACAATGTACAGCCAAAGGACTCCTTTTCTACACTACCTGTGTGAGCAAAAATATTCCTGCTTCTCTCACGAGTGCTGTGGTTTTGCGTTTTGCAGGTGAGCTGTCAGTTGAGAATGAAAACTGAATGTTTAAAAAATTGCTCCTTCCTTAATGTGACCGAGGAAAGGCTGTGGCAGTCTCTGGGAGCAAGTACCGTGTTACTTCTCATATCTGGCGACCCAGTCTCAGAGCTAGTGCTGGAAAGCGGTGATGATAGAATTTTGATAACTTGATGCATCCTGAAAAAGTTGTGTAACTAACAGCTTCTTTTAAAAGGTAATGCGAATAATTCAGCAGAGCTTGTAGGGAATCTCTGTGTAGGTGTGAAAGAGAGCGAGCGCATCGGCTTTGTGGGAACCCTGAGGGGAGGAAGGACCCTTTCCCTCGGTAAAATGCTGTACGCCCTGGTTTACTGTCTCGAGAGCATCCATCCTGTGTCGCAGCCATGCAAGTTAATTTACAATTTAATACTTTGATACAGATCTCTCACATCTGCCATGGTCCACGTTTTGATTTTCTATCTCGGAAGGTTTGTAAGTTAGATACTTTTTGTATTCTGTGTTTCAGCACTTTCTGAATTTTATGGAAATGATTCTGTTGATCTCCAGTAGTGGAAATCAGGGTTATTAACCCAACCTGCTTCTCCAAAAGGGCTACTGTGAAAAGAAATCATCGGGCCTATGACATGGGTGATTGTACTTTCTCTCTGTACTCAGGTTCCAATTTGAAGTAACAGTTAAGGTTTGCTCAATGCCAATTCAGTGAACCTTTTAAATACATTTCAATGGTCATACTATTTTACTTTACTTTTTTTGGCTACAGGTTATCTTCTACCAATCAGTCTTAAATAGGCAAGAAATAAAAATTTCAGATTCTGGCAATGCATCTCAAGGATTTTTTTGTTTAAGGCTTGAGCTCTTTGTTCCATACTTGTGGGAGGCAGATGGGGGGGAAATAGCCCTTTGCATGGTGTGATGTACTTTCAGTTGAAAATAAAATGCTGAACCTGCTCAGAATTAGATACCGTACTAATCCACACAGTAAGTATGAACTTGTACCAGGATTCTAAGAATAGCAGTCTTCAGTAAATACTGTATTTAAGCACGATGGTTTTTTGTTTGTCTTAAAATGTAATTTCACCCTGAATTAGGTGTTAACTTGATTCTTCTAATGAAAGCAACATTTATGGGTTCTAATAAATTAAGTTGTTTAAAGTATGTGAGGCTTCGGGCTTTTTTTTCTTTTGTTTTTTTAAAATTGGATTACCTTAGGGCTTCACCTCAAGGTATCTTGAGACACCAGGGCGGTTGCAGCCATTTCACGGGGGCAGCGACGGGGATGAGGAACTCGCCGTGTGCCGCACGGTGGGGCAGAGCCACCCCGAAGGCAGGACTCGGCCTCCAGCGCCGGGCGCCTAGCGGGGACGTGCACAGCAACACGGCGCTGGGCTCTGAGCTGCCCTTCGGGTAGGTAAGAAAAGGGCGGCAGCGTTGTACCCGCTGTAGGAAGCCTTCCCGCGCTCGGCTGCCCCTGGCACCGCGGGGAGGTGCTGGGGCCCGTGCTGGCGCTGCAGCCCTGCTCCGAGGCTTCTGGGTGAGCACATGTTACGGAGGTGTAGAACTGAGCTGCCCTTCGATAGACGCCTGCATCGGTGCTCCCGCACAAGAGTCAGGAACTTTCTGTTACGGACCCACTGAACCTGTTGTGGTGAGGAATCCGCGGTGATGTTCGCACCCAGATCTTGTGACTGTTCCCTGACTCAGCCTGGTGTTACCTTTCTTCCCCAGTGGCGTGATGAGGAGATACAACATCAAATGTTATTTTAGAAAACAACAGCCCAAACTCCCCCCTTGTCCATCAAAAGCAGAACACCCTGTTAGCGCTCAGGGACTGTTTTTGAGTATTTACCATCGTGAGGGAGACGGTCAAGGACAGGAGGGGTTCTGTACTGTGTTCTGTTCCGTCTGATGTTCCCTGTAACCTGGTTACTTCTGTATATGATACAGAGTGACATTATCTGGCATTTCTAGACATAATCATTAGATAACTGATGTTGGGAAATAGGTGCATTTCACAATTAGGCTTGCTAGAGCTATTATGCATAATCAATTTCTCATTAAGTGTAACTTGTTTCCATGTATGCTCCCACGTGACGGTTCTTTAGGCAGTAAAAAGCCAAACAAGGTTCACCCCAGCTTTTGCTGCCTCACTAAACCGTTACCCTTGAGCTGCCATTTACCTCCCGTCTGACGCAGACCCCCGTAAGCTCAAGCTGCCCGCCCGCCTTGCCCTTGTCTGCGCAGCGTTTGAGCAAGGCTTCGTTAGTTAATGAGAGGGCACGGGCTGTATGTCCGCAACAACGGAAGGGTGACTGTTCTCTGCACATCCCTTTGCCAGGGAACACCCCTAAGGTGGCACCCACCTTCCTGACGGGTTCCTTTTGCTTTGGCAAGATGAGAAAAGTTCCTGGGTTTCGAACCAGCTGAAGATGGTAAAACGGCAGGACGCCAGCCCAGACGGACAATTGGTCTCACCAGTGTGCTCACTTCTTGGGTTTGTTCTATTCCTTGAGAAATCAATACGGTTTTATGGTGTATTCCATAACGATCCAAGGGAGAGGGAAATACGGAGCTATGAGGGAGAGACACGTGTCTGTCTTGGAAGGAAATTCCATCTCTGGTTCGGTTTTCTCCTTGGCAGGACGAGCAGCGCTGCTGCTGCACCCACAGCACTCAGCGATGTTTCGCAACAGGCAAACGCCACCAGCTCCCTTTCGCTGTTTGGGAAGTGCTGGGAGACTCGGGGAGCACGGCCCACACGTGAACTGTAGGCTTGGTTTGCCTCTGTGTTTTGGGAAAATAGTTGGCTTAAGTATAGCCCATATAGAAACACAGTTTGATCTTGGTGGGTATCCTTTTAAGGAATCTAATTTAGGTCACTAAGCACTTTACCCTTCATTATTTAGTGATCCAATGTTTAAAGAATTTTATTTCTAAGGGGAATTGTTCCATCAAACAAATTCCACTTTAGTGTAAAAAAAAAAAGTCTGTGTTATTTTGGGAAACTGCCAATGGTTTTAGAGCAACGTTCCTTGCTTTCTGTTTGTAGGTGGCTTCCTTACAGCTGTTTCCTGAGCCATCTCCCCTCAC